GTTTTTAGGGATGAGTGTAGTTGTGCTACCTAGCCTATTATGCAGTGATAACAGATGAAATTCTTATGAGATTTTCATTTGAATCTTTAATGAAATTCAAAATAGGATGTAAAGAGTGGAATGAACGATGTACATGTATAAAGTTTGGTGAGTGCTCAAACAAACAACATACACATCAACTTATTGCGAATAATGCATAGACAATTTTTGTACAAAACCAATAGTTGTTTGTTTTGATTTTTTTTTAATTAATTTACATTAACTTTCAGATTTCAAAACTTAGAATCACCATGTATAAATGTCACATTGAGTAGATAACAACAACATTAAACCATATTTCTGTTTTTTCAGTTTTAAAAAAATTATTTATAACAAACAATATACTAAAAAATTTCTTCTTCTCGCTCTCTTTAGAGATGATTATCTACCGTCGAGTGTGATTACAGATGAAACTCTGGTGAGAGTTCCACTGGAATCTTTGATGATACTCAAAACAGGATGTAAGGAATGGAACGAAAGGTTGTCTGAATCTGAGCACGTGTATAGGCAGTTGAATTTCTCCAATAAGCGTTTTATGGGAATCGATAATAGGGTTAAGGTGATCAGTCCAATGGAGGGTGAGGTGAAATCTTCCCAAATCCCAGATTCTTTTGAGCATGGAAGCTACACCAGGAGTCTCTGATGGAGTATTTTTATGTCAGTTAAATAATCACCAAGTTATGGGATTGAAGCTTGCTCTGTGGAATCCATTGACGAAGCAAGTGCAGTGGATTAGGCCGAGAAATTTTTTTGGATTGACAGATTGTTATGGTATCAGACACCATTGTAGATTTGTCAACTTATTCCACGAGAATCTGATGAGGAGAACGCTGAAAAGTTCCATGAACAACAAATCGAGATATTTGAGAGAAGAATTGATGCTACTTTGGACTGGTATGTGGAGCCATCATGCGAGGAGGGTTTATCAGTAGAAGGCAACATGTATTGGATGGTCAAGTCGATGAGCGGATCCGAAATCTTTATCAGTCTTTCGATTTCTCAAAGGAAGTGTTTATTCATGTTTGTTCACTTTGATGCATTCATGTTTTACCATCTTTATCATACATTTTCTTTAGCTTTTATAGTCATTAGACTCTCATTTTGCATATTTCTCATCATTTTGAGTCTCATATAGAATATGTTGAGTTTTGGAGTTTTAATTTACATTTTATTGCATTTGCATAGTTCTTGAATCATTTATAGGTACTTTGGAGGCCAAAAACCAAAGGAGAAAAGAATGGAAGCAAAGATGCAGAAAATAGTCAGAAGTTAGGTGCTCGTTTATGCCATTTCTACCGATGGATCGAGCTGAAAATTTGACACAAGCTAGAAAATTGAGTTAGCTTTCCTATGAAAGAAATTTGAGGTCATTCGAACGGTGCGATCGAAAGTTATGAAAGATTTAGTGAAGACATGTCCGTCTGGTGAGCAAAAGAAGCAAGTGCAGAACACCAACCGGATCGACCTGCGGATCGACCTTCGGATCGGTCGATCTGATTATCTAGTTTTTGCAGATGACCTGCGGATCGACCCAATTTGAAGGCA